TTTGACATTAGGATAATAATTGGAAGACAAGTAACCAAAATCAGGACTGGCAACTTAACAGCATCAAGCCGTCAGGACTTCGATTCACAAACAAGGAGGACGCCGCACTGTGGTCTAGACAGTATGATAAATTTTGTACCGGTTAATGAGATTTTGCTAGAAGATTAAATTTTGCGCAACTTTGTCCAAGTGTCGGATAAATTGGACTAGGTGCACTAACTCTGATTAAATTATGCAACTCTTAATATTCCACATTTTTTCATTCTTTGACTTGCTTAAGTATGGCACAGTTTAAGGCTTGTCTGAGCCCCTTCCCCTTCTGCTGGGTACGTCTTATCTGACCAAATATGCCAAATCTCGAAGGTTTTATCAAATAAAACAAGAAATTTTTCTCAGCCAGGTCATCAAAGTGATGAAGAGCCCGAGTTAACAGTGCTAATAGCAACCATTCACTGACAATACCACCGATTATTCTCTATTCCGAGGACTGCTTCAAAACAAGCTGATGGCGGTTTTGACTTCCTAGCATGTGTTATTTTCAATTTACCATCGAAATAATATAAAAGTCGCATAAATCGATCTTCCCCTGAAGGACTAAACCTAAAAGTAGCGCCTCTTAGCATTAAGTCGGTGAACTAAATATTTTATAAAAATATAGTAAACCTTGAACTCACTCATTTAATTTTTACGTCGTCATTGCCTAGGAAAAAAGTAAAGACCAATTACCTCCAAACATTTGAACAGTTTTGAAAGACAAAGCACCGTACGTCGAACAGTGGGGTACCACAGGCAATGGAGATCGATCGCAGAAGTCGGAGACGTTTTACTCTGCTCACTTTTATCAACCTAAAAATAACTACTTAAAAATTCATTCAGTAAGCAATTTTTTTTTCTGGTAATTCCCAGTAGCAAAACATCTGGAAGCTAATATTTTTGCATACATCCAACAAATAAGTGCTATGTGATTGCTTTTTACACTGTCCTCTATAATACAGTTCTACTCGACTTCCTCTTCCCGCCATCAGCTTGCTTCACAGAGATCCTCGAAGAGGAGTAGTCGACACTCTAGCTAGTGGGAGAATGCTGTTGAAAATGTTCGGCACTTGCTCTCTGTGAGGTATCTCCGATTCTCATACACTGTGAATACGGATGAGGTTTCGACTTTTGAGACCTCCTCTTAAGAATAACAGTCGCTGTGGGGAGCGCGAAAGTGCCGCCAATAGCGAGTCGCAGAAATACAAAGGTAACCATGAAAATATAATATGCCATTTCTTATGCAAATGAAAGAAAACAAGAAAAGCACATCCCGTGAGTGGCTATTATCAATTTCGGGCGCCGCTTCAATCACAGTGGCCATAAAAAGACAATCCCATGCACAAATGAAGCGAAGGTGTGCGACGGTGAAAAAAGAGCTGCTGGGAGTGTTAAATCCCTCTCTCTTCGAAACATAACTATGAAGCGATGAGTACTGGAAAAAACCGATGACTTGCAAAATGTATTTAAAAAAAATTGGACCTTCTCTGCATGCTCTTCCTCGATTGCTTTCATCATTTCCAATTTTTCTGGATAAGCAAGATCACCACTGGACGGTGTGAATCCAGCAATATCGGACTGCCCATACAATCCAGTTCTGCAAAATATGGGCATAAGTTAACCACTGATCTGAAGGCTATCTACGCAAAATGCATATGAGTGCTCAAAAGAACTTACCGATAAACGATTCGTTCGGCTACATCACCCACCAATTCACTTATAACACGCACAAAACCCGTTCGTGGATTAATCATATATTCGTCCACATCGGCCACTGAGGATGTGCCGCCAGTGCTTATTTCGCTAGGCAATCGGGACACTGACATCACCGATTGCATTAATCCACAACGCTCTTCGATCATTTCGACCTTCAAATTTCAGAAACTAAATATGCGAATAGTGCTAAATCAGATCAACGCGCTATGATCAAGAGAATACTTTCGTACTTATCGTTACTGTTCGTAGCATGCTACACGCCTAGATTCGGTTAACTTCTCTTTTTTTCAAGTATCAACAGCTGGATATGACTAAAATAACACTGACCCCCAAGGCCGGTCTCCCCTAAGAGTGGCCCACAAGCCTAAAAAAATAAGCCTAATTAACTGGGCAACAAAACTGACATAAAACTAACTCAAGTATGACAACAATTATATTAAAAATGTACTATTATGACAACATGAAACCAAACATAACAAGAAGACATCAAATCGGCAATTACCTTTAGGATTGTGCAAAGCTCCGCGAGAGTCTCCAAATGTGGATTATGAATAACTATTGGTCGCAGTATGTCATAAAACACACGACAAAGCGATTCAATGAAGTCATCGAACGAAGTTGCTGTTGAGATGAATGGGGCAAAAATGGATGCCTGTGGGCTTGATGGGCCCGACGCTGTGATCGACCGCGGACAACAGCCATCTTCATCTGAACAGCACGGGAACAACTTGAAACCTAAGCAGCAATGCACCAGGCTTGTCGGTACGATTATGCGTCTTTGCGGCTAAACTTGAAGCAATCAGATCGTAAACAGTATGAATGGTTGTGCTGCTTTACAGCTAGCATGTGCATTCGTACTGGCAGTGTTTTGGTCTTTTCCTGCCTGCAGGGAAAAAGAACGTTGGCTGGGACGGCAATGCTGCTTCATGGAGTCGCACGAAATTTTAACCCCCAGCAAGCACTGTTACCGCAAATTTGTATGGAAGGAGATGAAAACTGTTACTGAATGTCAACCGAAAATATAAACTAATCAATGAACAGGATGTCGGGGGGAGGGGGGCGAAGAGGGGAAAGATGGCGAAATCGCTTAAACTTCTGCGTGCCCATACATGAGAACCAAAGTCCTTAGAGACTGAATTCGAAATTTTTAGATCGTGAGTGGACAGAGGAAACCTCTTCAAAATCTTAGCTTTCTAGCTTCTCCGTTTTCCGAGTTAACCAATTTTTTGTCAAAACTTTCATTTGCCTGTGTAAGTGAGAAACAAGGGTATTTGGGAACTGAATTTGAAATCTTAAAATCTTAAAATTGTACTTGGACAGGGAACATTCCCTAAAATTTCAGCTTTCGGGCTTTTCTGGCTTCTATCCTAGCAATTTTCCCGCAAAAACTTTCAGACATGCGTGAAAACCGATACCACGTTTCCAAGACATCAATTGCTCAAGCAAAAAATTAGCATCAAAGTTTACCTGGCTGCCGACTCGAAACACCCGGACAGACGCACAGACACACACATACAAACATATGTACGTACACGCACACCCTATGGGCCATCACAGTATGCATTTTTGCTTTTGCTTAACATGCAGAAATTCATAAAAAGGTGCAACAAAGACGAAAAAGAAATGAAAAAAACCAAAAGACAACTTACCAGAAACTGTGAAGAACTGCTTGTAAAGGCGAAACTCATCATCGCAAAGACGAAGCAAAAATACACAACCGTTTCGTGTTAAAGCACATGAACTATCAGCATGCCGCCTGCAAAAATGTTCAATTATTCCAATAGCTATGCTCAAAAAGACCTGGGAAATTTATGAGGTATATCAACTGTAAAAAATCCGTTCACTGAAGCTGGATGCGAAGGAAGCCCATTTAATCTAACGAAGTAGTTCAATGTGGAACTTTACAGCTGTTCTCGTGGAAAAAAATGTAGCTGTGAAAAAGCAAGAAAATAAATTCGGGAATAAATATTCACTTCACTCGTATCGTCATTTTCGCAAAAAAAAGGTTTTCGACTTCTTCCTGCTACTGTGTTCTTCAATTTTTATAACAACGAGCAAAAAGAAGAGCAGTAAAAAAGGAGGACAACGGGACTCCATGTAAATCACCGATCCTCGCCTGAATACTAAATATGGAGCATACGGTGAAATCGCTGTGCAGTTGCAGCCAGATGAATTTAGTGTTTTTCGCAAGCTTAAATT